AAGAACACTAATATTTACTATGTATAGGGCACGGAATTGGTTGGCCTTATATATATTTGAACTCCTTCAGTTTGCCAACCACTGTGAAGTGTACATTATCACTGTCTTCCTTCTCAGATGTGGAAATAAGTTATGTGTTTTAGGTCACCAAACAAAAGATAGCTCATAGATTCAACTCCAGGTTTCTCAGGTTCCATGTCCTTTCTACTACACCACAATGTCTCTAACCAGGGGTCTCTTCTGTGTGAGAAATACCCCTTCCTTAGATTAAAAGTGGTATAGTATGCGAGGTAAGATGTTAGGTTCTGGCAACACATGAACTTGGGCTTGATTACCACCCACACTAATTATGTAATCCTGGGAAGTCACTTACCCTCATTAAGTCTCAGTTACTTCTGTAAAATACAGTTATTACTGAATAACTGTCGTTTGGTTGCTCAGTATCTATTTCTTTCCTAATAACACCCTGACTTCCTTTTGAGGAATTATTTTCTTACTGCATACTGGTAAAGTATGGGCATGTGACTCAAGCTAATCCAGTCTGACACTTTGCCTTGCTAGAACTTGAACCTTGAAACCAAACATGGCTAAGAGTGTACTTATTCCAGCAACAGTGTCCAAGGAGCTAATCCCAGCTTTAGAACCACTCCTGTGGTCTACCACTGCTGTCCCAGTTCGCTGTAGTCACTCTGGTTCCCAAGCAAGATTTTCCAGCCTTCACATTAAATCTGTGGACCCCTAATATCCTTCCAATAAATTCCCTTTCATTTACATGAGCCAGTCACTTTGTTGCTTATAACCAATGAACTCCAAATGAAACACCACCTTATCAGGTTACTGACAAAATAGAGTGGGAGTCAAAAGATGTAAGCTGACAGTCTGGTCACTAAGAGTAAATTCAATATGGGCTGTAAACCAACGTAAAAGCATGGTCATGTTGTAAATATGGTACAAAGTACATACAAGCAAGATTTGCCCATTGATTACCTCCCAGGCTACCACCTGGCAAAACTGTTTTAGTTAGGATAAAAGTCCAATATCCTTAATAGAAAGCCACCTTAACATACCTGACATGGGTCTTCACTACCCATTCTACTCCAAGAAATGCCTCAGGAGTTTTCAATCACCTGAAAATGGAGAAGTAAGAGATAAGTCTTTTAAAGAGGGAGTTCTAAAGACATACAAAATAAAAGATAGAGATCCTGCATGCAGTTTACACATTACAGGAGAGAAACATGCAACTTTAAAGAAATTTTAACTAACATTTCATTGTGAATATCAATATGGGGACCTATAGGGGCTCACATCCTTATACATTTTAAAATAGCTGAGCAGAAAGCTTTACTTTGGGGAGCAGCAGGTCTAAACTACAGTCATTGAAATTTTACAATGTGTCATTTAAGATGTCAGACTTTGTGCCCAGGTTACATTACAGTTCACTTGTGATGGGCAGGATTATTAAGAGTTATGGCTAATTTATGCGGCAGCATATGGTTTTTCTTTTTACAGCTATTTTTATTAAACAAGTTTTGCAAAGTTTTAACATTAAAATTAACAGCTAAAGAATTGTTTATGCAAGTTGCTGTCACAGTTTATGTAAAAGAGAAATATGTGCTATTAAAATCAGACATTTAGGTTACCTTTGGTTTTTTGCGATGCATGTTAGCTTTACACATCCTGATTCTCTTGCGATAATTTTCCTTTAAAAAGGGGGGTATAGAGTGATCTCTTTTCATCAAAACAAGACATAATGCCCTGAAAGCTGACTTCAAACCACGGTTGAAAATTCAGTTATTTACACTTTATCACAATCTACAAATACATTTTTTTGTTGGTGTGTTTTAAAAAGAAAAAAAATGTCCATCATGCACTGCTGCAGGCAGCTTGGCACTTCATACAAGAGGATTTTTCACCCCCGAGCAGTTTAGGTGGCTCCCTTAGGGAAGGCATGAGAACCCTGAGAATTAATGTAGAGGAGTGGAAACAGGGTCAACCAATTCCATCATTTCCTCTCTTGGTCTCTCAGGAGGGAGGTTCAGAGCCAGGCTATCATGCCAGATCCTGCCCCAGCCCAGCTGATTTATTAACAGCATTTCTGGGATTGGAAGGGAAACCCTTAAGGGCACCCAGGGTTTGCTGAATTGTCATTATCTAAAGGCAAGTGCTATCCCTCTCCAAGTTCACAGAGATTATTTGGTGTCACTCTTAGGGCCACCTACAGGCTCTACAGAAGGTGCAAACTAGGATGCCTGGAACTTTAAGTACTGAGGCCTATGTATGGAAACCAATCCAAGTTTCAACTTAGTTGGATTTTTCTCTCCAAAAATTAGAGCTTGTGATAAAGACTGGATAAAACTGCTTTCAACAACTTCCAGGGGGTGAAAAAGCTTTGGTTATTTTTAAACTAAAACTTAACAACTCATAAACTTTTTTTTGGTAAACTTAAAATAAAATCCCCCCCCACCACTTTTAAGAATGTCTCCAACTTTTAACAAGCCCATTAACTTTAGAGTTAATTTAAGTTTATTTGAAAGAGAAAACTATTTTATTGTCCACCCAAAAAAAATGACAATTCATCACATTTACTTTGATTAAAAAAGGACTAAACTTTATTGACAAACTGCTGCAGACATTTTGACATAAGTTTAAGCTACCTATTTAGGCAGACTTACACATGTAGCATTTAATCTTCCAAGAACAAAATGGGAGGACGGTACAAATCCAATTAGGACTTTAACTTATGTACAAAGTGGATTTTGATTCCTTTTTCATTCAGCTGCAGTGTCCCTTTTTATATCATGCTAGTGTTGAGACATACTTGACTAACTACCTTGGTAACAGTTCAATATTGACAACCGTCAACTTAAGAAAATCATCAGCTTTTGGCCCCAGTGTCCAAGTGAGCTTTTAATGGAGTGTAGAATCTCAGATGGACAAAATACTTTGCCTTTTAAAATACTGAAATGTTAATTATTAGTACTATTACTGAAAGGTTGTTCGTGACTAAAAAGCTCTGCATCAAATTCAAGTGGCCAGCCCCTCTCCCCAAATCAACCTCTTCGAAACCTACTTCCCACTAAGTATCTCTCAACACTGTATGTCTGGGGCTAGATTTCAAAACCCACATAATGAAAAAGTCAGTTTTACGAACCTAATTTTGTTGTTGTTGTTTTTAAATCAATTAACGTTAAAAATTGCATCAACTATTTAATTCATGAGGATCTTTCATATTAAAATTTAACCTTAAGATTCAACCGCCATGTGCTTTTAAAGGAAACGTTTTTAGAGACGTCTGAGCTCACTTTTACATGGTGGCACCTACTGCCGTTAACGTTTGTGATTTTAAATCTTAAACAGCCCTGAATTTTGAAATGTAGCCTAGTTTGGGATTCTGCAACTACAACTTTACGGGATGCCTCAAGTCAAAACTAAGAGAAAGTTAACAAGCCTTAACTTCAGAACCTTTAAGCAAGCAATGTCACTTTTGAAACTGACAGGTTTGTGGTTTTTTTTTTTTTACTCAACTTCTGTTTTATTAGAAAAGGTACATTTCTGTTTATATTTAAACAACAAAGAAAAAAAGCATCTACACACTTAAAAAATTAATTCGATATTCCTAAATCTATTTTAACTCATTTTAAAATACTACATACAGAAGCCAGAATGCAGAGTTAAGAATGGAGTAAGGTGGGGGAGAAGAAGGGGACCACGAAGAAAAACACTTAGACAATTACTTGTCTGTTGTGGGTAAAGCAACAGGAATCCTGGGAGATACAAGAAATCAGTAACAACTTTGCTCATAACTGATATTTTCCCCTCATGTTTGTTTTTAATAACGTCCATATGGGTGCTCTCTGTATGCTCCCTTCACCGGCCTAGCTGGAGGGGCCTTCAGCGACGGCCTGGTCCCATTCCAGTCATCTTGGCCTGTGGGGAAAAAGCAAGAACAGTTTATAACCCATGTGCCAATGGCATTTCCAGATGGGCAGGCGTAGGTCACCTGGTCACCAAAAACACTGCTTTACTTCCAATGTCTTGCCACCTCCTGGGTAGTCCTTACTTTTTACTCTGCTTGGCCCTCCTAAGCAGCTTAGGCAATTTTCCAACTGTAAGACAGTTTTGAGTGGACAGACAGAGGAAACAGTTCAGGAAGAACTTGGAGTGATGTCCAGGAAAGAAGCTGTCCATAGGCAACATAATCTATACTCCAGCCCCCAAACCTGAATAAACCCAACACCTTGCTTGGGACAATGAGGAAATCGACCTCAGTGGATCTGCAATGCTCTTTCCTGTTTCCAAAGCAATTTGGCACAGAGCCTCAGGTTAGGTGACAATTTCTGGAAGTCTTTCAGATTGGAAGCAGCAGGTAGCTCCCTTTCCATACAACAGCAAGTCTGATTTCCCTGTGCAGAAATATCCTCTGGCTCCCTGGGAAGAGCAAGCAATGGCCACGTTTCAAGAGCCCTCCACCAGCAGAGCTGGTTCACTGTTCTGGCAGTGGGAAGTACAATCAAATGTGTTAACAGCACTCATTAGGAGAATTCATTATCTACTTTTTTGTGCCAATAGTCCAGAGAAGCCAGACAGCATGACTGACATCCTCAAATGGTTTTCCTTTGTGACAGGGAAAAGCCTATAGGAGAGATGATCACTTACTAGAGCTGATCTCTTATGATTTATAAGCTTATTCTTCCCACTCACTCCCAGATGTTACCCAGGCCTGTTATTTCTCTAGCTCCTTGCATTCACAAACATCTGCTTCCATTAATATAGGTCTAAAACTCCTTTATGGATGTTGCACAAAGCCCTATGCTATCTAAGCCTGATTATACCTCTAGTAAAATAGATATGTCCACCACTTTCCAAGTGGCTTCTGGGTACCAACAAGACAGTTTATTTTTCTAACTCTGCTTAAAAAGGCAGAAATCAGAACAGATTAACGGTGGCAACATCATACCAGGAGAACAAGGAGCAGCCTGCCTATTTCAGTGCAGTCTTTTCTCCAGCAAAACAGAAATGTAATTTAGTCAAACACATACAGAGGCCCCATTGTGCTGCCTCACGGATGAAGGGAAATACCCTGGAGCAATCATACCACCCTTCTAAATAGTGGCATATGAGCAGAGAGCAGTGCAGTGTTATGGATGGCAACTGTCCAGTACCATTTAGCTAGAACTGGTAAAAACTGTTTCTCTGGGCAAGCAGCTGACTGGTTACTACATAATGTGCTGAGGAGCTGAGGAGTCTGTCTGTGGGAACCCTAAGAGGCTCTCTCTTTTCAGTTAGGGGTAAGGGAGACTGTCAGCTAGTAACTTAAACGGTCAACTGCTGACCCCCTTGCCAAAGTCTCTGGACTTCCCTTGGGTATGCTGGAAACACCTCACATTTAAAAGGCTGCTCTCTCTGCATCTACTGCCACATGGTACTCCCTCTGGGACCCATTAATATAGGGCCATAACTGGCTCTTGAGGATACTCTTGAGCAATGTGTTTTCAACCAAGCCTCAGGAAAGGCAGTTTGGTCCTGCTGCCATTCCAGCATCTATATAGCTCTCTTAGGATTACAGGACTGAACTGAGATGTCTCCAAGACAGTAAGGAGCTTGGTGCCAGTACTGCCCTGAATTGGCTTCAGCCCCCAGTTTCTAATCTAACGGACACTATTCCTGCCCCCAACCTGCTCTTGCTGTTTAGGTTTCTTTCAGCTGGCATTTCCTCTACACTGAGATTCTTCATGATGAGATCCAAAATTGTTTTTAAAAATGAGGTGGGGCAGAAGAATTGGATATGATTAAATTCTTATTATCCACCGCCGTGGCCTAGGTATCAGCAGCAAAGGCCCAGCAACATAACCCAGGCCTAGCCATCTCCCAGCCTAAAGTACAAAAAGAATCAACATCAGCTGAAAAGCCTGCTGCTCCAACCAGGCCAACCTAGACCTGAGCCCTAGTTTAGGACATCTGCTTAGTCGTCCAAGAGTAATAGCACACCTATCTCATTTCAGTAAGTCCTTCTTTCTACCGCACACCACACAATTTAAGAGCAGGACTCCTATTGCCACATCTATCGACATATTGGCCTTCTATTAGAGGTTTCTCCTTAGATGCATGACTGACCCCCAATAATCCGGTCACCAGCATTCTCCAGGGCACTTACTTGCACATTTTGTCCCACCACAGAAATAAAGACATACCATATGCTTCATAAGAATCTTGAACCTCCCCATGTCCATAGTCATAATATTCTGAGTCCCTGAAAGCCAAAGACAGAGTGTTAGAGCTATACAGTAACCAGGTTTCAGTTTTACCTTTCTCCCTAATACTTCCATATTTCAGTCATTTTATTGTGGGTATAAAACAAAAAGATGCTCATTTTACCCCATCTCCAAACCACAAAATATTTCCAAAGCATGTACACACTAGGTACTCATTTAAAAACTGTGACAACTATAGCAAAGGAAAATGAATAGCAACAATTTAAGTGAAAAAGCTCAATCCAAAAGCTCAATCTTAACCACAGTGTACATACACATGTATTCACAGGGCTAACTGGAAGAGATTAAAGAAACATGAAAAGAACTGTTCTGTCCCCATTGTAGAATTATGAGACCTTTTCAATCACAGTTAAGATATATATATACACATACACTAAAAATGTTTTTTAAAAAAAGAGCAGAAAAGAACCTGACTTACAACAGTGGGATTCTAGTATCCTTTTAAACTTTTATGCAACTTTAATGTGGCTGTGACATTTTTTAATAATAAATCAAAATAATTTTAAGGCCTCTTCCCTTTGTTTCCATGTAGTCACAGCTCAGGAATTTTTCATCTGCTAACCCCAGATTCTACACTATAATTTAAGATTCACAGTTATCCAAATTTGCAGATCCAAGTGTGTGCCTTACAGACGTCAAAAGCAGACGAGACACCCTCAAGAGAGGTGAGCCACCCTGCTCCTTAGATTTGTGCTGCCTAAATCTCTCAGTTCTTCCAACTCCCTCTTATCCATCCCAAGGACATGAAACAGCACTTCTACTGCCTGACTCACCCTTGGCTTTGGCTGTAATAGCCTTCGTAGCCTTCATAACTCTGTTCTGCATATGTATCATCATATCCCTAGAACAAATAAAATGAAACAGAAAGTCAGAATCACGGAAAGTAGGTAAGGTAATTATATCCCATGGGAGTATGGCGGGCTTCTGGATTAACAGAACATGGAATTTCCCTCCAAAATGTTAACACCTGTTGTGGAATAGTCAAGAAAGAAAGGACTAAAGAAAAAAAAAAGAAACAATGTTTCTTTTGAACTTCAGCATCATCAGCAGTAGTAGTGTGAGTTCCTTTAGTAACACGCTAAACATCAAGGGACAGCTTATTTCCTGTTTAATCTACATACATACAGTAAACCATGCTTAAAAATGGAAAACTCTTCTCATAGTTTAACATTCACTGCAAGAGAAGAGGGCAGATTCCAAATCTTACAGGCAGTCCCTGCCACCTACATCAAGGGCCAAGGCCCTGTCATTCAACTTCCTTTGGCAACCTGTTAGGTATTAGGAAATGGCATTGTCAGAATGTCTTACATATTCTTCATAAGTTTCTGGTGCAGGTGGTGGAGGCAAAGGTATTCTCTGGATGCCTGCTGTCCGTGCTCTTGGTGCTGGAGCACCCCTCACAGTAGGTGGGGGTGGCACTCCTCGAGTCACAGTGGCACCTCTGGTGATGGCTCCTCTCACTGGTGTACCACGCACTAAAGCCCCCCGAGGTGGTCCAACACCTCGGCCCCTGCAAAAAAGAAAGTTTATTTTAAATGGAGAGTTTTATAAATAGGCTACTTTCATGTTCAGATTTGTTTGCAAATTCTGGAGCTAGATAAGAGATTTTACAATACCTTAAATAGACTATTATCAAAACACAGAGGAATGGGGAGTTCCCTGGTGGTCCAGTGGTTAGTACTTGGCGATTTCACTGCCGTGGCAAGGGTTCAATCCCTGGTCAGGGAACTAAGATCCCACAAGCCACTCAGCGCAGCCAAAACAAAACAACACAGAGGAATGTGTAGGTGGGTAAAGGATCCATATTGTAAGGCTCCCCAGGTCCCATGGTGGACCTGTTAATGTCTCATTAGTGGAGCGTCTGCCTTGGAGAGTCTGAACAGTCCATAAAGGTCAATCAGCAAAGGTAAAATTCTAAAGTCAAAGACCATTTAAAAATGCTAAAACTGTCCAAAAGTTAAAAAAGCTTTTTAAAAAAGCTTTAGTCCTGAAGTCCTAAAGCTTCAGGACTGCTGTACCTGATTATAGTCAAAGTGACGCAGATCTAGAACTCCACTCTTTTTTTTTTTGGCCGTGCCATGGGGCTTGCAGGATCTCAGTTTCTCAACCAAGTATTGAACCTGGACCACAGCAGTGAAAGCGCCAAATCCTAACCACTAGACCACCAGGGAACTCCTTAGAACTCCACTCCTGATGCAACATACAAATCCTGAGACCCTTTCTAAGCTGGAGATAAGAGCACCAGTAAAACAGAGATGGTACCAGCAGTCAAATTCACATCCCATTTCTAGTTGTCTCCATTATTTATACCTGGGAACAGGTGGAGGAGGAGGCGCAGCTCCCCGGCCTCTCACCGGCACCCCACGTCCGCGAGAGGGCTCTGGTACTCCATTCAAGTAGGAGAGCTCTAGGAACTGCTCCTGGCAGATATCATCCATCATATCCTGTGGATAAAAGATAATGAGAAGGAGTGTTATTCTCTACGTTCTGCTGAGAAGTCATGTAGTCCATACGAGCCTTGGATGCTAAGAACAACTTTGAAAGCCCAGATGAAGTCTCAGGTCATTCATTCTCTGAAGTCAAATGGCACTCTACCTGTCACCTCTTTGAGGAAAGTCTTGATGGTAGACCTCTCATTATTGAGATGAAGTTCTTCATGATGTGGTCCCTGCCTAGCTCTCCAGATCACTTCCATCCTCTCTCCATGTATAACCTCCTTTCAAGCCATGCTGAACAACTTGCAGTTCAGAACATGGCATACTCTTACACATCCATTCTTGCAAATAGTTTCCTCTTTCTAGAATAATAAAAGCCACTACCATTAAATAAGTTCTATGGCTGGGTACCATATAATAAACTTTACATAGGGTATTCAGTTTAATCTTCAAATTAACCCCGATATAGGCAGATCTTCCCATTTTACATTTGGGAAAACAGATTCGGGAAGTATAAAAGCAATCAGTCTAAGGACACAGAGCTAGTAAGTGGCAGATTCTACATGTAAATTCAGAATTACCTGTCTCCAAAATCTAGGCTTTGAATCATCAGACTACGTTATTGCCTTTTTTTGTCCACCTGAGGGACTCTAACTCTTACAAGATTTAATCTAAAATATTACCTCACCTCTTTTGAAAAACTTTCTCTTGATGCCAACCCTTCACTCCCTCCTCTTTTCCCACAGCACCATGTAATTTTCTCTAAGCACTTACCACATCATTTTAGAATTGTTTGTATGTCTTTCTCACTAGGCTGTGACCTCTTCAAGAGCCATTTTTATAACTTCAGACCCAAGCACAGTATTAGGCACCTACCAGATACTTAACAAATGTTTGGGATGAACAAGGAACCTGAGGCTCAGAAAAGTGATATAATAACTTGTCCAAGATGATGCAGATAAAGCTCCCAGTCCAGTGCTCTTCCTACTGTACCAGGTTCTAAGGGGAAAACGGAGGGCTCTGGTCATGGATGCAAAAACAGGCTCACTTTTTTTCTTCACAAGGGGGAAGAATTGAGCCAAATGCCATTTGCAAATCTTTTCACATACTTCCTGAAGAGACTCATCAGTCTTAACTTCATGCATTTTTATATATCCCAGGTATATACAGCTTTTAGAAGATTCTAGTCACCACAGAGATGCCCCCCCCCACCAACTCTTCACCTCCTCCTACCGTACACATTTCTGCTGCTTGAGATTCACATTGGAGAATCAAGGGACCAATGATGGGCCATTTGCTCATATTCCTCTAACTGCCACAGCAACACTGAGGAAACCTCGATCTTCCTGGCAGGTTTCTCTTTTGAAGATCCACTTACATGGAAGCCTTATAAGCCTAGCCCTTTTGAGAAATATGCTGAGACTAATGATAAAGAGGAGATGGGCATTCCCCTGCAGTCCTTCAGAAAACGGATGGCTCAGGATGCTTCAACATATACCTCAAAGAGTAAAAAGCATATCCTCAAGGGAAAATTTACGAGCTCTGAGTTTTTCCTAGGATATTTTAAATTGGCTGTTTCATGTTGAACACTCTAATGATGACGAGATACTTAGAAGCAAAGCAGCTGCTGAGACATTTAAGACAGTGTTGGAATCCTTGGAGCTCAGCATTATAGGTACACATGCCCTATAAATTTTTGCTCGACCAATTCTCACATGCTCTGATACAGTTCCAACTCCCTCATTTTACATATACAAGAAAACCAGGAACTATATATCACCTCCTCTTAGTAATGAAACTATGATGCTTACTCAATTCTAGCTGAATAGTACTCCAAATGCTTCTTAAGGTTCCAGATTCATACTTGGTTATTAAATATTCAACAGTAAGTAGTTTTCAGAGTAACTCTGAAAACTAACAGTTCTTGCCAAATGGCAAAAATTCATCATTTTCTACTTAAAGAATGAAATCTCTGACCAGGTAATAATAAGCAAGACAGGTAACCTGGTCTGTCCCAATTCTTCCAAGGCCTTAGTTACATTCTGAAAGGAGCTGTACACCGATCTGTTTAATATTATCAACGGTTAAGCCTACAACCATCATGCCTCTTTCAAATCAACTCTACGTGAGTAAACTCCTCCAGGAGAGAAAGCCCTGAATGCACTCAGGTCGGAATTCAATCCATTAACACTGGAGGCTAGAGGCTTCTTGCTGTTATCATCTAGACTCTCTAGAGTCTAGAATAAAATCCCCCTAAGTGCAGGGGATTATGACCACCTTAGTCATTTTCCTATCATAACCTTCTGGTTCCACTCTAGCATCAAAATACACAATTTAGTGAAGATCCTGTTAAATCTCTGTTAACCAGATGTTAAAATGCCAGACACACTGTGGATCCAAAATATTGACAAAAGATACCGGTATACAACTAAAACCACATTAGACATGGAGTGGGAGAGTGGCCTTGGGGCACAGTGGTTTGAAAACCAGATACAAGTAATGGATCACCTCAGAAAAATGAACATAAATGAAGAATTTGGTATATAATTTCAGGTTATGCAGAGACCCTGGATAAGAAACCCTGCCTTAGCAATAAGCACAAGATCCCAGTTTTCTCTTGCTCAAAAGATACAGGATATAGATTTCCTTACTGGTACTAGAAACTTCTTAACTTCCTCCATAGCATGGGCCATAAGAGCATAAGCCTCACACGGGGGTCCAAAAACTTCAATGAAGACATGCAGATCCATATTCAAGTGGGCATATTTGGGGTCTCCACCTTTGCGCAGCTCTTCCTCCTGTGGAAAGATGCACAAAAACATCGCATCACTTGGACTAGGGAGAAAATGACACCTTTACCTCTAGGCCAAAGAGACATCGAGAAATGACCCCAACACCTAAAAAAAAAAGTGTAAGAAAAAAGCAAAACAAACTCTGGAGAATAGTAATTTACACAGTCTGCTAAACCTGCAATTAGTCTGCTGCTCTTCTGTTTTGAATCACTGATGTATTCACTGGAGCTCTTATTAGAAGGTATACAAGAGACAAACTTATTTCCAGTTTCCATTCAGATAACAGCTGTTTGCCAAGCATTCATCCATTCACTCATTTATTGCCAAGCATTTGCTTTTAAATCCCTGGTAGAACTCTTAATCACCAGCTCTTCTTATCTGCTTATATGGTCTGGGAAGTTCTAGGGAAGGAAAAAGTCAGGACAGAGAGAAGAAAATCTCATGTAAATCTCATTAGCTAGAATAACATACCTCAGCCCTAACTGTATTCATCTAGTGAGAAATGTGAGTGGACAAAAGAGGGTCTGAGAAAACATGTTTGTCAATTAGGCTGCATAAAAGGAGGTCTGGGGCTTCCCTGGTGGCACGGTGGTTGACAGTCCACCTGCCGATGTAGGGGACATGGGTTCATGCCCCGGTCCGGGAAGATCCCAAATGCCGTGGAGCGGCTGGGCCCGTGAGCCATGGCCGCTGAGCCTGCACGTCCGGAGTCTGTGCTCCGCAACGGGAGAGGCCACAACAGTAAGAGGCCCTAGAAGGCTAAGACTGTTCTGTTTCGGTGGTAAGTTTCTCCACACTCACAAAGAGCATAAAGAGTATGGGGCTATGGCATGGAAAAAAAAAAAAAAAGCATTAGGTTCTGTTGTTAGGGTTACTCATGGTTCCTTTTGTAATATCTTCTTTTAGAGGGCCTCACATTCCAGCTGGCTATAAAACAAACCAGCCAACTAATCCTCAGACTCACCTGTACTCACAACACTAGTGCTCTCATTTTTCCACATTACTGTAAAGGGAATGTGCTACTCACATTTTAGTGTCTTTAGTCTCAGTAAGTTTCAGTACATCCAGCTCCCCTTCCAAGTTTTCATAGATAAGCTTACTAATGCCAAAGTTGCTACTGCTGTTTCCATTACTATGCAGTCAAAGTCAGAAAGAAAACAATTACCAGGGCACACCTAGGTTCTTCCAGCATTGCCAAAGAAGTGAATTAACTGGTCTATAATCTCTTACATCCAATGCAAATTTAAGAGAATCACATTCTGTACATATGCAAGTGCTAACTTCCATAAGGAATCTATACTGGACTCTGGGCTACTGGAAGGCATTAGGGTGTCTTCTTGCCTCATTAATGTGAGCTTACCTTGGCCTTGTCTCTCATTGAGCCCTTTCCCAACACAGAAATCTTTGCACCAGTCTCTTCTTGCAGTCTTTTGATTGTATTCCCTTGTGGTCCAAGGATCTTCCCCACAAAATTGAACTGACAGAAAATAAAGACAGATTTCTAAACACATATGTTCCTATAAAATATTTCCACACGTATTACTTATCTTCAATAATCCTGTAAAATAGGTAGAGTATTACCACTCCCTTTTTACTGAAGTATTATACTGAGGCTGTACGGATAAAGTGATTAGCCTATGGTTATACAACTGCAAAGTGGCAGTTCTTAGACTTGAATTTCCGAA